CCTAACACTTAAACCACCTAATCACATAAATTCAATAAATTTCATATTTTCCTCGATTTCTGGCATTTATAGAACGTTTAAATAATATCCAAAAAATACGGGTCCTTACAGATCCATTGTGCTTTGAAATGTATACGACACTTGAATATGATATCATCCCTTCTTTAGTTTTCAACTTTGGCATTGTACATTTCATTATTGTTATTGGCCGAATTTCAATATTGAAATTTGACAGACCCAGATACTTAGGTTTTTTATTTTTTTTTGTCCAAGGTTAGGATACCATTTTATTGATGAATAAAACATTGGAATAAAATTACAACGGGCAACCATCCCCTTGGAGCTAGGGAAGATAGTAACCACAAAGGAGATCTAAACTCCCATGCACGTAGAAAACTCATGACCTCTCACTGCCTTCAGGGCTAAAGTATGAACAACCCTGTTAGCACTCCGTTTCACCAAACACGTCGACGTGCTCGAGAAACACTCTGATTAGCACAATCTTGGGGCTTAAATCCTCTAATTTGTAACTTTTATGCATTTAAGTAGTCATTTTTATCCTATATTGCACGTAAGGTATTTTTGTTAGCGTTTCAGGTAAAACGTGCTAATAAGGCGGTTTTGAACGCCAAGGGATGTATTGGGTTGTAGCCAAGTATCCAATTGCCCGATGGCACATGTTTCAATGTCACCGGAACTTATCGGCACTAGAAGAAGCCTCGTAGGTCGTTCGATGGTCAAAGTAGGCGAGGAGTGAGCCAAAGTGTATCAATGAAGCAAATGCTTCGGAGATAGCCCTCGAGGGCATCCGAGAGTCCAAGGCCACATGGCATACTTCCGTCAAGTCCCGTTGATCAAGAAATCAAGCATTGGAAGGCCGTCGGGGCACGACAAGGCATGATGGTCCAAGCTGACCCTGTTCTGCAGTTTTCACACAGAGGTATTGGTACCTCATTTTTGAGGTACCGGTATCATTATCCTGAATTGGAAGACAGTTGAGTTGGTACCAATACCTCATTTTTGAGGTACCGGTACTAATGCCCTTTGACCAACACTTTTTGCTGAATGTTTCAACCTTCCATAAATAGAAAGTTTCTACTTCTAGTATGTTTTTGGGATATTTTAGGGGCCTTTTTGTCCATTGTAAGGCTGATTTTATAAGCCCTATAAATAGGCTTGTATGCCATTTATGGAAAGGATAGAGACCATTAGTTAACTTTAGGCCTAGTTTTCTAGTTTTTGCTCTAGAATTCCATTGTTAGTCTTTCAAGTTTTTCAAGTCATTTTCCTACAATAACTCAAGTAAGTTTAAGTGTTTTGATGTTTTCTCATGTGTTAATGTTGTAGCTATGGTATGGATCTTCTTATAAATTAAGTTTATTTTTGTTTTTATCGGTGAATCATGTTTTTCATGCTTGATTCGTTTTCTAGTCTTTATGCTATGAGTGAGTAGTTAATAGGTTTGATCATGGGGTGAGGTTCACTCTATGACTTAGCGGTTCAAATGGTTTCTCTTAATCTTTAGCTTAATTTCAAGGATTTGAATGAATTAAACCCATGATGTCTAGTATTGATCATGGGGTTGGTGGGTTCTTTGATCAATGAAGTCTATCGCCTTATGCTACATGCTTGATAATCCTACGCGTGCGAACGATTCTTTTTCGTCTCTCACTTGCGTTAAATGAGTTCAATTTGAATTAGAGCCTTGAGTTAAGTTATAAGTAGTCTTCAGCTTTTAATTCTTCTAGTGGAATCCGGACGGTTTCGATCCACTCTTGAGTTAGATGAAGAAACCGTTTGACGGCTAAGTCGTGGGTTAATCAACCCCTTTGACTCGACCATTGATAAGCACCCAGAAATGTAATGAAAGGGTGCGCTAGTGTCTAGGTTTAGTTTAATTTACTCATTAATTAGTTGTTTTTAACTTAGTTGTCTCGTAGAGTTTGTTTGTTTTGTTTTGTAGGAGAATCGCTTAATAAGGAGCTTTAAAGGCTTAAGGCATGTCATGGCCTGAAGTTGCCCGACGGCCAAGGCGCAGCTCAGGCAGAGCCCAGGCAGAAGACCATCGCCAAGGTGCATCTCAGGCAAAAGTTACCCGACGTCAAGGCTGAGCAAGAGGAACAGCCCGGGCAGAAGAAGCCATTGCCAAGGCAGAAGCAGCCGACTCCAAGGCAAGACCAGGCGACGCTCGAGCATGGCCAAGGCAAGATCAAGGCACAGCTCCACTATTGAGCTCGGCATCGATGGGATGCCAAATTTGACATCGATGCCGAGCCCATTAGTGCACCAGTTCCTTATTGACCTCGGCATAGATGGGATATAATTCTTTACATCGATGCCGAGCCCCTTAGTGGCCCATCTTATACCTGTTGCCATCGATGCCGAGGGGCTTAGCGGGGCATCTTTAGAGTATCTTTTGGGATATTCCGTGCGCGAAACAGAGGCAGTATAAATACCCCGTTATGTCACCTTTGCACGATTTGGACAGAAATGTACCCATAATTTTAGATCTAGCTTAGATTACTTTTCAGCTTTTTGAATTGTTCTTGCTTTGTTCTTCATTTTCAGCACTTATTTCTTAATTTCCTGCCTTTATTAGTTGTCTTTTGCTACTCTTGCTTTAATTAAAGTTGTTGCTTAATTCCCGATCTATCTTTTAAGCTAATTTTCTTTTAGTCTTGCTTTTCAATTATGCTAAGTAGATTTTTGCTTGCTCTTATCTTCATAGATATGTGTGAGTAGTTTCAAGGATTAGGTCATGGGATAATTAGCATCCCATAGCTTGGGCAAAAATTGCATTTTTCACCAATGAAGTTTTAATTTTTGGATTTGAAAATTGATGTGGGGTTCGGATTCGTTTGGTAAATTGCCGAGGTGTTAACCTCTTTGATCATGTGTAGGTGGGAGCATCGCCTACTCACCACACATGATGCTTAGAGCTCTGTCGCTCGAGGTGTTTACCAAATGAGTTCTAGAGCTAGCTTGATTTTCAAACCATCTCTATTTCTCGGTTTAGGTACCTACAATTGCGTATCTTGAACCGCGTGAATTGGTGAGAAACGTGATTTAGCTCGAGTCATGAGTGCTAGTGATTCCTAGACCTAGCCTATCTTTTTCCTAGTTTATTCGTTTCAATTTAGCCTTTCTTTACTACCGTTTCAAAGTAAAACTCGGTTGGCTACCTAATAGCCGAAATCCTTGCTTACTCTACAAATCTGAGCCAAGCCATAACACAATTCCCTTGGGTACGATCCCGGTCTTCCGGATTATTATGCTTCATATGACGTATTAAGCCCTACGCTTGGGGCGTTATTCCTTATATCGGAGAAAACGAAGCAACCATCGCTAATCTAGTTTAAATTCCAAGTATGAATATCGTCATTCAATTCGAATACCAAAGCTGGCCGCTTGAATGCCACTACTCTCCACATAAAATCTATTCTAAATTCGCTTAAAAAGATTTCTCTGTGGGAACAATTCCGGTCTTACCGGTTATTATGTTTTCAACGACCTAACCCTACGCTTGGGGTGTGAACCTTTCTAAGAGGTTAGGTTGCGATGAAGCACACTCTAAAAGGCGTAAGATATCTGCGCAACAATCACACCCAGCCACCGTCTGATGCTCATCTGCCCGCCGTTGAATGAGTCGGACAAATTGTTGGGAATCCCCTTCCAGCACAATAATATTGTCCATTGTCCATAGCATGGTACTTGTGGACAGTTCTTGCTGCAATGAAACACCCCTGCCAATCTCGAATAACCATGCCCAAACCACATTGTTTGCCTTGCTGGTCGATCTCCCTCCAGGGATGGCAATGGGGACGGGTCGGGGACGGGGGGTACTACCTCCACCCCCTACCCATTACCCCCTACCCCATCCCCATCCCCGACCCGATCCCCAATGGGGATTTGTTTTTTTCCTCCATCCCCGACCCAAACGGGGAACGGGGATCCAAACGGGGATTCGGGGATTTAGGGATTCGGGGATTTGTATTTGCGGCACATAATAGTACCTCCATTTCCTACACCTGTATTTCATAATTTTAGCATATACTACCAATTTTCAGCGCATAACAACACGTTATTCACTGTTTTAGCAAGTACTATTAATTTTCAGCACATAATAACTAATTCCAACACATAAGTTAATCTACAACATTGTTTTTCCAACATTAAGTTAATTCCAGCCAGCACTAATTTCATAGTTCCATAGTTTGTCCAACATTACCAAAACAGGACTGATATATAATATAGTATATATTTATTTATTTTTATATATAAGTATATATTTCGGGGATTCGGGGACGGGGCGGGGCGGGGAACGAACGGGGAACGGGGACGGGTAGGGTTTGGGGCGGGGATAGACCTATCCCCGTCCCCTACCCAATCCCCGAATTTTTTAAAAAAAATTCCCCATACCCTACCCGATCCCCAAACGAATCCCCGAAGTTCGGGGATTTTTCGGACGGGGAACGGGGAGGGTTCGAACGGGTCGGCCGAGATTGCCATCCCTATCTCCCTCCTTTGATCATTAGATCCCTCATTAGCTTTTATAAAAATAAAATAAAAAATCAGCAGCAGCTCGAACAGCATTTTGACAAACTATGTCGGGCCTGTTCAACCAATCAATAAATATTACACAAAGGGCAAACCATATCAATAGACAATTTACACTTATAAAGAAGCTCCTTCACAGGCAAAGTATTTCTAAAAGCTTTCCAAACAAAATTCTTAATTTTTCCTTGGACCGGTAAAGACCATGCGTTGTTCCATACCTATTTTAGTTGCTCCCGTTTGCTACACTCCCCCACAGCCCTCTTTCCCAGCATTCTGTTTCTTTTTAGCGCTAACGCCGATTCGTATCCCGCATATATCATTGTCATCAGGGGCGGACCCATCATAGGGCACGTGTAGTCACGTGCCCCACCCCTTTTTTTTTTAAAAAAAATTCCCGACTTTGTGTCTATATATTATATATATGCTAATATGTTACAAGAAGTTGAAGGTTGGTGCAATGGTTAGCAATGTGCTTTAGAGAGTAACAGTCGTGAGTTCGAATCCCCATACCCTCAGTCAGTCCCTGCACTCTTTTTAATTTTTTTTCAAAATCCACTTAAGCAATTCAATTCCCTCCGCACTCCGAAGTTTTCTTTTTTTTTTTTTCAAAATCCCCTAAAAACTCTTTCACAACCAAGGTTTCTCCCACTTCCTAACGTCTCCCATCATTTGTGTAGTACTCAATATGAACTCGCACATTATATTTGTACATTTTATGTCCCCAAAACTTATACTTATATAGTTAATAATAGAAAAATAGATGATGAACATATGATAATTTTGTTTTAACACATATAGTCGATGTGCGCAAATTTGCTCAAGTAGCTTGTTATTAAAATGCATATATACTTTTAAATTATTACATTATCATGGATGCTAAAATTATGTTGGTGTGAATGTGTTTAACTGTAACTCACATATTACGGTGTTACAAAGAAAATTGGTGCCCCCACTACGTCAAATTCCTGGGTCTGCCACTGATTGTCATCCATATGGTATTGAGGCAACGGTATAGAAAGAATAACCTGTGCTTCTTCTTCACTAATAACCTCTTTAACCAAATTTTCCTTCCGCACATGCCTTCCCGAATCAAATAAAAAAACTGACCCTTCGCCCCTTTATATCTTCCCTAACACTATGAGGGACTACTGGTTCACTCTTAGGTAACCAAGGATGCTCATCAATGATTACTTTGCTGCCCGAACCAATCCTCCATCGCAGCCCTGTTTCCAGAACCTTCCTTCCTTCCAGGATGCTTCGCCACGTCCAAGACGGATTTGACCCCGACTTTGCTGAAAGAAAAGAGCCCACTGGAAAGTACTAAGCTTTAAGGATGCAGTGAAGCAAACAGTTCCCTCCTCTAACCAACCTCCACTCTTGCTTTGCAAGTAAAGCCAGATCAAAAAACGTGAGATCTCGACACCCAAGACCACCCCCTCCTTTTTTCCTCGCATAAATCATCCCATGCTGCTAGCCAATGAATCTTTCTGTCGTTATCTTTTGACCCCCACCAAAACCTCGCCATCATTCCATTCAGCTCTTTGCATAGCTTCTCTGGCAATTTAACACATGACATAACATAGTTCGGTAGAGCCATTGCCACTGATTTTAAGAGCACCTCCTTACGAGCTCGATTTAAATGATTCTCATTCCATCCCTCCAATTTCATTCTCAGTTTATCCTTCATGAAACCAAAAGCCTTGCATTTAGAGTTTCTGACGTCAGTCAGGAGACCAAGGTAATTACCTAGATTCACATCACGCCGAATGCCTAGCACCTGACTCAACCGATTACGCTCACTGCTAGGGGTATTTTTACTAAAGAAACACACAGATTTATTGAAATTAAGCAACTGCCCCGACGCCTTGCAATAGGACTGAAGGATAGCCAAAGCATTCCGCACTTCCACTTCAGTACCCTTGTTAAATATCAACGTATCGTCTGCAAATAAGAGGTGGCTAACTGAAGGGCTACCTCGACACAACTTCACCCATGAATCCGACTTGCCTGCTCAGCGTCTTTCAACATCCGACCTTCTCCACATTACAGGAAGAGATATGGAGAAAGAGGATCACCTTGTCGGAGACCCCGTGATGGTCTAATGTAACCCTTCGCTTCTCCATTGATGATAACCGAGTAAGAAACCGAGCATAAACATTCCAAAATCAACTGTACCCAAATCTGACTGAAACCGAGTTTCAACATAATATACTTGGTATATTTCGAATATTGTTTTCCGAAGTATGAATGCTTGGTGGATTTTAGTTGCTATAGCCCTACGAGTTAATTACTGAAGTAATCATTAAACTTAGCTTCACTTGCTAAAGTTTGGTATCCCAATATTTGACAGGATTGCCTAGTGCACTAAACCTGAACCATAGAATAAGCACACATAATTAATTACGCAATGTGAAGGGTTTATCTCATGAGTTTTATGAGATATATATATATATATATATAACTACTAGCAGATGCCCATGCCTAAAAGGTACACCGGAATGTATCATAGTCTCAACTTCAAAGCGGAGGTCAATAACTTATAATAACTTAAAGGACAATGTTATTAGAGAAAAAAATCAGATTGAAACAAATAAGAAACATTGAGGACGAAATTGAAAAGTTCAAAATATAAGGACTGAACTACAATATATATATAAAATTATAAGGATGAAATCAAGATATTTTTAAAATAGAAGGACCAAATTGAAGCCTACCCTCAACAATAGGGACTAATAGCTAAATGAGTCAAAGAATTATGGCAAATTGGAGCATTCAAACATGAAACAACTATATGTATTTTGATATAGAATGGGAGACTACCCTTTTGTTGTCCACTTTTCTTGAGATTTTGTATACTTTTGCTATTCTAATTTTTGTCCAACTAAATTGTATTTTCAACAAGTCGGATGCAGATAAACTTGAAATTTCGCAACCCTTCATAGTAGTTTGAAAAGAATACCAAGTGCTTCAGTTTTCAAAAAAAATAATTTCCATATTTCCAACCAACCCAAAATCTCAACAAAAAATTGGCATGAAAATGGAGCAAATGGAACTCTTATAGAAAATCACCACATCAAACATTGGAGAACCAGAGATGCAGTGCTTTCCCTCTTGCTAAACTTGAGAGCCTCTCTCTAGCCTTTCCACACCTACTAGGGTTTTGTTCGGGGGTGGCTACCACCTCTCACCTCCACCTCCTCCTCCCCCTCTTCCTTCCCCGCTTCCTTCCTTTCTTTTATCAACATCGTCTCTCCTTTCGACTCTTCCTTGAAGGATCTTTGCCTCTCTTGCCATCTTACCTCTCCACCCATCCATCTTTTCCACATCTCCAGCGGAGCTGTTCCAAGGCGGTGCACAAGCAGCGATACTTTCTAGTCTGGTGCCTAGGCTTTGCACTAGTGGCTCCAGTCTTGCATTCTTCAATCCTTTCAGCTTTGCTCTCTATTCTGATCAAGTTCGCTTCTAGTTTCTTTCATCCCCTCAACCCTTCCCATGGGTGTAGATCCGTTGAGTTTGGGGTCGAAAGAGCAATGACCAATAATTCAGAGAATCGAAGCCGGTGGTTTTATTTATTGGTTTTATTTCTGTTTGTTTTTATGTTTTTCTCCCTTTGTGGAGTTGTCTCCTTCCCGTTGGTGGAGGTTTCCGGTCTTTTTCTATTCTTCTCCCTCTGTGGAGTTGTCTCCTCCCCGTTGGTGGAGGTTTCGGGTGTCTATCAGGTTGTGCATTGTGTTGCTAGTTATGGTTTTGGAGTTGTAGGCGTGTCCCTTTGGAGTCTTACTCGCCCGAATGGCTGTCCATTTCTCTCCATGAGGATGTCAGCTTCTTTTAGTGTATCTGTTCTTTCTTTCAATCAATGAAATTCCAATAATTTTGACACACACAAAAAAAAAAAACATTGGAGAACCAATTGTAAAAGCCCACAAATTCCAGCGACACGATCTCTACCTTCATCCTTTTTCCGTAGATAACAAATAAGAAGTGTTCCAACTATTTCCAATCCGAGAAAGAAAAGTCATAACTCACAAGATAGAGAAACCAAAAATATTAATTCAACCAAATGACAAATAAGCAGTGTTTTATGTAATTGGGTTAAACGTTGTATGTCACACGCATCGCGTGTGTTCAACCTCTAATATTGGAGAATAGTGTTTTGTAATGTTATAGTGAAGATTGGTGTTGGGCGCACATCTAATTAATATTTGTGATAACAAATTCATAAATTCATGGGCGGAACTTTTTACCCAGAAAAGTTCATAGGGAGGAGAGTGTGAAGGGCATTGGAGAGGTACTTTTCCTACTTTCCAAACACTTTCCGAAAAGTTAAGGGGGTATTTGGTAACATTTTTATTTTCAGTTTTTTATTTTTGTTTTTACTTTTTTGAAAACTAATGAAGAAAATTTGTTTGGTAACATGTTTTTATTTTTTATTTTTGTTTCTCATAAACGTTTTTAGAGTTTTTGTAAATTATGAAAACTATTAATTCCTTAAAACTTCCAATTCGTTGAACTGATCGAGGCAGACACCAGACGTAATTAGGGACAGGGAGTAGTTGCAAAAGAGGAGTGGAAACTTGCAAAACAGAGGGCTATCACAAGAACAATTAATTCACAACTAGCAAACCCCACGTACACCCCCACCACTAGGGGATTCTTGATTACCTCACACTTTGCTGCCCCCTTAAGAAAACCTACCAAAATTGACTAAAAAATCTTTTTACCTGCCTCTTCGAATTGTATAGCATTTCTCCCAAAAGATGGTAACTGTTGTATGTAGCAAGATAGGTTGTTCAGTGTAGCAAGACATAACCCAAGGGTTAGTCAGGTGGTCTTGGCCTATATAATTTATGAATTTGTGACATTTTTAAACTCTCAGCTTCGATTCTTCTCGTTATCAACTCTTAAGACCACCTCACCTCACGTGTAAGCGTGAAAAGAGTTGTGGGAAGGTTGTAATGATTAGTCTGAGATGCGCACAAGCTACCCTAGATTACCTTGCATTACAAAAAAAAAAAAAAGTATAGCAAGACATGTAAGCCGTGCTCTTTTACAACAATGTCAATATTTTCAATGTTCAAATTGTCCTAATACAATTAACTCACGTATAGTCATATGCTAAAGGACTTTAATACAGTATATATTAGTATATGTGAACATGTCACTTAAAACAGATCTCACGGCCCCAAATTTTTTAATTTTTGTTTTCCTCAGACTCTCACAAGTTTATAATTTTTTGGCTTTTAAATTAACCCTCCCACGAACTATATGCGAATTTTGATCGCTTGCTAGTTTAACTATATGCAAATTTTGATTTTGATTTCTCTACAACGCCGTTTAAACTTTTCAGCTAAGTTTAACTGTTTTGACCTCTAACAAAAATTTTTAAATTGTCTCAACTTGATTCAAGCATCACTCAAATTACAAATCCCAGAGTATTTTCTTCTCCTCGCAAGTTGATAGAATTACAATTGCGGTTATCATGCACAATTTTTTAGTGTATTTTGGTGTCACTGGTG